GTATGCTAACATTGGGTCTAGTAGGTCCATACCTATTCCTGAAGATGATAGTGAAATTCCAGAGGAGAGTGGAACTACACCACAATCTGATGCTTGTAACCAACAACAACCGACTAGATGTAAGTCTAAGAGTAAAGACAACATGAATTCATCTTCTAACAAGAAACCTAAAAAATCAAATCGTGAAGAGGAAATGTTATGTGCCTTTGTTGACTCAATGTCTCAGTCCATGAGAAATCAACACATTGTTCATTGGACTGAGCAATTGGCTGCAGCGTTGAAGGAACATTGTTTGTTGGAAATTTTGCAGTAGAAAGACAATGAAAGAAAAATTTGACTTGTATTCCTCTCAAAATCAATTACAATTTGGATTCCGATTACAAAAGAGAGGAGAATGAATTTGATTCTCCCCTTTGTTTAATTCTCTGGGTTCTTCTTGGTGGCGATGAGATGCCTCCCTCGAATGCTCGCGTCGAGTTTGCTTCTCGTTGACGATCCGAACGTCTTGATTCACTGGAACGTGGTCTTCTCCTCACGATTTGACGCTGTGGAGAACTTGCGTGGCAAGTTTTGAAAATAACTCTTAACGAGTTGATAACTCTAAACGAGTTTTAGAAGAACTTGCAGAACAAGTTTTGAACTCTGATCGAGTTGATAACTCTGAACGAGTTTTAGAAGAACTTGCAGAGCAAGTTTTGAACTCTGATCGAGTTGATAACTCTGAACTAGTTTTAACTCTTGAAAAAGAGTTGATTTGAACCGAAAGTTCGGTTAATAAGCCAAGGAAGAAGCTCCTGTTGCTGGTCTCCAAAACTCCTTGTTGCTGCGAACTTGGAGATGATCTCTGTTGGAGAATGATCCGATCTCCAAGAAATTCCCCCTTTGCTGCCAAGTCTCAGATCCCAAAAAGCCCTTGACCGAATCTCCCTCTGTTGATGAGATAAAAAATTCGATCCCTTAACTCAATTGAGTTTCTGATATTTATAGGGGATTAAGGGTGGTAACTACCCCCTTAATTCGCTCTTAAGTAGGGCGAAAATCCCTCAAATCGTGGGGAAAAACAGTTCCTGGAACTGTTCATTACGTGCTTTGAACGAGTCAAACGCTGAAAAATAGCGTTCAGGGCCCGAACTCTGCGTTTTTAGACTAAAAACGCAGAGTTGGGCCTATCTTGGTGGCTGAACGCACAGGCAGATTCTCTGTGCTAGGGCGTTAGAACGCAGAGCTGAACTCTGCGTTCAGCAGTTCAAGCAACACAGGCGCACATGCCACGTTTGGGCTTTAACTCTGCGTCCAAGGCTTAAACGCACAGTTGGCCTGTTTCAGGCTAAAAACGCACAGTTGAGCCCATAAACGCACAGTTGGCCTGAAAACGCACAGTTGACCTGTTTAAAGGCTGAAAACGCACAGTTTGTGCTGTTTCAGAGATGAACTCTGCGTTTTAGGCTGAAAACGCAGAGTTAGGCCTGTTTAAAGGCTGAAAACGCACAGGTTGTGCTGTTTTAGAGATGAACTCTGCTTTTTAGGCTGAAAACGCAGAGTTGAGCCTGTTTAAAGGCTGAAAACGCACAGTTCGTGCTGTTTAAGAGATTAACTCTGCATTTTGAGGTTATAACGCTGGTTCGACCTGTGCGTTTTGACTCTGTAATGCAGAGGCGAACCTTAGGCGGGCTTGGCGGGCTTCAGGCTAAGTCCAATGTTCTGACGAAGTCCAGTCTTGCAGACGGACTTCAGAACATAACTTGCTGCGAAGAACAGAAATTCCAGAGGATAGTGGAACTACACCACAATCTGATGCTTGTAACCAACAACAACCAACTAGATGTAAGTCTAAGAGTAAAGACAACATGAATTCATCTTCTAACAAGAAACCTAAAAAATCAAATCGTGAAGAGGAAATGTTATGTGCCTTTGTTGACTCAATGTCTCAGTCCATGAGAAATCAACACATTGTTCATTGGACTGAGCAGTTGGTTGCAGCGTTGAAGGAACATAGGAATGAATACTCTGAGGAATTCCTGGATAGGATTTTAGATCACTTATATGACAATGAACGTGAAGCTAGAAGGTTTTTCATAAAAGGAAAGGAAGGTCAGCAGAGGTACATTACCAACCTGATTAATGACCAAGGTTGGTCTATTAACTAATTTGTGCGGTTTGGATTACATGTTGATGGAGCATTTTGTTGTGCACACGTATATATTGTTGCGCATATATCATTTTTTTATTTGCAAACTGTTAATGTTGCAATACTTCTTGTTATGAAAACGCTATGACGTCATGTAATTAATGAATTGGTATTTTTTAACTTTTGGTGCAGGTAAGTATGGATAGGCATGACCAATGAGCTCTTAATGTTGCTCCTTTGCTTTATTAGCTCTTTGGCTTTGGGTTTTTTTGCCATCAGGTTTGTTACTGTTTTGTTCTTGGGTTTGTGTGGCTCCTTGAGTTTGGATTTGTGGCTGGTTTTTTGGGCTTGTGTAGCTCCTTGCTAGCTGGGGTTTGTGCCTGTTTTTCCTCAGTTTTGCAGCTCCTGCTGCTGCTGGGTTTGTTGTTGTTTTGTTGCTGGGTTTGTGCTTGCAGGAGCTGAGGTTTGTTGCTTGTTTACCCCCTGTCTACTGGGGTTTGTTGCTTGTTTTACTCCTGCTGCTGCTGGGGTTGTTGTTGTTTTGTTTTTGAGCTTGTGTAGCTCCTTGCAGCTGGGGTTTGTTGCTGTTTCGTTCTGAGCTTGTGTAGCTTCTTGCTAGCTGGGGTTTGTGCCTGTTTTTCCTCAGTTTTGCAGCTCCTGCTGCTGGGTTTGTTGCTGTTTTGTTGCTGGGTTTGTGCTTGCAGGAGCTGGGGTTTGTTGCTTGTTTTTCCCCATCATACATTCTCACCATGCTGCTGTTTTGTTTTTCCGAGCCTGTGGGTTACTTGATGTTTAGTTTTGAGCTTGTGCAGCTCATTGCACTTGATATATGGCAATGATGATGATCAGCGTTTACTGATAATGCAATCTAACTTACATCGTTTATTATATCCAGATGAGGCAAAAGGGGATGAGATTGCAGCCTACATTGAATTGATAATGTCTAGGCGAGGCAATTCATCCTTATAATGCAATCTGTAATAAACATGTAAGTTATAGGTGAGGCAATCAATGATGACAAGTTGATCTATTACTGAGCCATACAGGCTTTGGTTCTCTGAGCTTTGGTTCTTCACCCCATCATACATTCTCACCATTCTTGCACACTTTCATCGGTGTTCGGAGATTGCAGTCGCAATAAACTTCATAATTCTGCCAGCACTCTTCTGATATCATCCTTGATGTCGGGGCAGCAAATTGAAGAGCTTGGGAATTTTATTATTGTTGAAAAATGAGAATGATGGGATTATTTGTGAGGCCTCAAGGTGAATTTATAGCCACCATGCCCCTGAAATAGCCGTTGCTACAGTGATTTGCCTAAGAAAATTGAAATCTGTGTTTTTAGATCTGGAAATAGCCGTTGCTATAGTGTTTGCTGCTTGAAATCTGATTTTGGGGGCTTAAATCCGTTGCTACAGTGATTTTTAAATGTTGCTACAGTGCTTGCTGCTTGAAATCTTATTTTGGGGGCTTAAATCCGTTGCTACAGTGATTTTTAAGTGTAAATTGAGATAGCCGTTGCTACAGTAATGATCCCAAGAAAAATATTCTTCTTGAACCAAACATGGTATTAGGAATTGGACCAATTCTATAAAAGTGAGATTACTAATCCTTTGGGTGAAACAAACATTGAAAGCCAAAAAAGTGGGATTCCATAAAACTCAAACTTGTCCATAAATTTTTTATGGATTAGGTTGGAATCCATAAATTAAATAGGATTCCTAATCCTATTCCTAGCCCTTGGTGAAACAAACAGCCCCTTAGGGCATCTCTAACCATACCCTCCAAATTTCACCCTCCAAATTAGAATATTCTAGGAATATTCCAATTTGGAGGGTGAAGTTTGGAGGGTTGCTCCATCCCACACTCTCCAAATGTTTTTCTTTTTATTTTTTGTCAAAAAAACCATATAAATTAAATAATGTTGGATATAGTTTAAGTTAATAATTTTATTGTTAATAATTTATTTGGAAAAAAAATTATAACATTATAAAGGTGTCGATGAGAGCTTTAAAATGAACCCAATATTAATACTGCAATACAACATATTAAAAAAGAAGGAATGTAATTTAAATATTGTAATTTATGCTTGTATTTTCTTATAGAGCAAGTTAAATAGATCCCCCTATTTAAAATTTCATGTCTGATACTTATTTATTTAATTTAAAAATTAATAATTTTATAATAATACTAAAATAAATTAATCTTAGTTTCATTTTAAAGATCTCAACGAGCCCTTTCTAAATATATAATGATTTCAAATATTAGATTAATAATTTTTTAACTATATTTATTTAAAATTAAACATCTAATTTAAATTACTAAGAAGGATGACAAAATGGTAATTTTTAAGAAATCAAATAGTTAAAAATGACAAAATTATAATTAATAAACCATGAATAGTGTTATGGAGAGACCCTTCATTTTTTCTCCTCACCCTCCAAATTTGGAGGGTCAAATTTGAAGATCTTCAAATTTAGAGAATGGTTGGAGAGGTTCCACTCTCCAAATTTGGACATTTTGAAAATATAGAGACCGGTTGGAGATGGTCTTAGTCTTGGGGTTGGGTCATATTTGCTTTTTAATTTTAAGGGCCAGTAGCATTTTTCCCTAAATTAAAAATAAAAAATTATTTTCATATAATTACCCTATTTTAAGCTAGTTTTTAAGGGGGAAAAAAACAATCCAAAATAATGTGCATGCGTGGATAACATCTTCAACCATTTCCCAGTTGGGACAAGTGATAACTAATACATAGTTGCGCAAACAATCAATCCCACCAATAATAATAATAATAATAATAATAATAATAATCAAAATGTATATCACAGCAAACCCATGATAACTCAGCAGAAATGTTAAAATTTCAAGCTTCATCCAAAAAGCTATATGCTGATGATTATTGAGAATGACATCCACAGCTTAACTAAAGATAAAACGATCCATACAAACTAGAAAATCGTTCTTTCAAGAAGTAAATAAAATATCACCGGGTAAAACTTAAGCTCAAACCCTTCAAAGGGGAATCCACCGCCAATAAGCTGGCTAACACAAATTTATTCTGAACAAAAGCTTAAGCTACTACTAGCAGCAAAAAGAAATCAGCAACTCGATCATCGGTCCAGAGCAGCAGCAGGAAAGAAAAACTCTCTATTTCGCGGTGTTCATGTGGCGGATGAGGTCAACAACACGAGTACTGCAAATTGTGAAAAGCCGCAAATTAGAAAACAGAAATGAGCATTCCAGTCATCCATTTGATAAGGATGACTTAGCAAGTATATGGTACGTTAAGCTTATCATATACTTTGTTAAGCAAATCCGATGCGTATAACTCCAATTTTTGCACTTCACAAATATAGGTCATAAAGCAGCCAGATGCTAGCAAGATTATCAAAGAGCAATTACCTGTAGCCCCACTCGTTGTCATACCAGGACACGAGCTTAACAAAGTTATCGTTCAAAGCAATGCCAGCCTTGGCGTCGAAGATGCTTGACCTATTATCAACCAACCACCAAACGATAACATGTATTAGCTTATTTGAAAGATGATAAGGGATCAACTATATAAATTAAAAAGTCACAAGTACATCAAGATGAGCTTTCTTTAAGAGCAACAAGACTGATCAATTAATTTACCTGCTGTCACCCTGAAAGTCAGTGGAGACCAGGTCCTCCTCAACATAGCCCAAGATTCCTTTCATGTTACCCTCAGACTCCGCCCTGAAACCAAAAAACCAAACAATGAGAAGGGTGAACTTTATAATAAGGACCTAATTTATTCCGAAGTCCAAAATTTGGAACACAATCTATCTATTCTTGCGCGCTTGATGGCAACGTTACTTACTTGACGGCGGCTTTGATTTCATCGTAAGTGGCTTTCTTCTCAAGCCTAACAGTAAGATCCACAACAGAGACATCAATGGTTGGAACACGGAAAGACATTCCTGTCAATTTACCATTTAAAGCTGGAAGCACTTTGCCAACAGCCTACATTTTTCACATGAGAGAGAAGGGATTAGTTGACGTACAGGAAGATATCATTATCAATGTCTTTAATTTAAAAATCAATTTATTGGCCTAAAAAAGGCAAAAAGCACCACAAGGACACCATTTTCAAACAGAAACGAACATGAAATCCGTGAAAGTAATTTACCAAGATGGTGAACACAAAAGGTGGCTCTAACTATCCTTCAAAATTATTTGAACAAGAGTAGCTTAAATATAAAAATGATGAAGACATATGAAATATTTGGGTTTATGACAGTTTAAACTGAAAATCCGGCAATAACAAACACATCATTAAGTGAATCAAATTGTTTCCTCCTAAAATAATGATGCTGTTATCTAGAGATGCATAGCATAAGTCATGAATAGATATTAATGGAAAGAGAATAAGCTATGCCAAGTAGCTCACTTTCATGTGAACAACTCATAACCAAGGAATTTATATGTGATCACGTACATGAAGAAACCATAAACTATACTTGAAAGTTGAAACAGTGATACAACTGATAGATTGAAGTAAATATTCAAGTCAAATACCTTAGCAGCTCCAGTGCTGCTAGGAATGATGTTAAAGCTTGCAGCTCTTCCACCCCTCCAGTCCTTGCTGGAGGGTCCATCGACAGTCTTCTGGGTGGCTGAAACAACAGAAAAGTCAAATCAAATTACTGACCGCAACAAACTTACCAGATATAGTAAAATTGAATATTTATTTCTCGAATAGATCTCATACCGGTAATTGCATGCACGGTGGTCATCAAGCCCTCAATAATGCCAAACTTATCATTAATGACCTGCCATGATCACATCCAAGAGAAACATTATTAAGTAAGGAATAACTTGTTGGAATCACACAAAAAAATATTGGAAATTTATTACCTTGGCAAGAGGGGCTAGACAGTTGGTTGTGCAGCTAGCATTGGAGACGATGTTAAGATCTGGTGTGTATGACTTGTGGTTCACTCCCATCACAAACATAGGTGCATCTTTGCTTGGTGCAGAGATGACAACTTTCTTGGCTCCACCCTGAAACATCGTACATAGTCTAGTATTAATATAAGATGTTCACATGGGAGTAAATGCTGTAATATCTAATTCCTGGATCTTTAATTTAAGACGTATAATACAAAGGAAAAGAAAAGCATATCATAGATATTTTAGCTAGATCATGTTTAAAACTTTAGTGAGACTGCTCATATTATTAATTAGGCACTCATGTATTCAAGGCTCCTCACAAATCCTCAAATCCCCTCTCATTGTTAATTAATAGCCAAGTTTGAAACTAAAAAAAACTAAAAGTTCGCAAATTAATGGAACACTGCACTATTTTCTGGCACCAATTTCACAAGTTACCATCAGCCATTACAAAATCCAATGTAAGAAGTCATTACGACTACCAACAAGGACTGTACATGGTGCAGCACCAAGCTAACCTCCTAAACTAAGCCACGTTCAACTTTCAATATTGACACTGGCAACAGAAAATTATAAAAGTTAACTGCAATAAGAAGAAGAAAAAAACCTTAATATGAGCAGCAGCCTTGTCCTTATCAGTGAAGACACCAGTTGACTCGACAACATACTCAGCACCAGCTTCACCCCATGGGATCTCTTCCGGGTTCCTTGAGAAAAACAATAATTATTTAGTACAAAGATCACATCATATAGCTAGAGAAATATACAAACATTTTTCACATTTTAATAAAGAGTAACAAAGAGGCATCCACCTGCAACCGAACACAGCAACTGACTTCTCACCAAAGAGAAGAGTCTTAGAGTCCTTCACCTTAACTTCGTTGTGCTTCCATTGTCCATGTACACTGTCATACTTAAACATGTAGGTCTGCAGAAAACCATACCCACCATTAGTAAAAATGATGTGCATCAATCAAAATCCAAACAAAACTTTTTAATTTTGATTGAATGTGATTTGTCCTCTGTTCAAATGTTAACGTCATGATCATTTTTCTACAGAAAGTACTGATGACCCTTACAAGAGAAAACAATTGCAAAAAGGACCCTGTCTTATCTTCCAATTCTAATAAATAGAAAGGTTTCTTGCAAAACAAGCTCCTTAGAAAACCATATTGCATAGTTTTGTTCTTATGAAAATAATTAATAAACCTGATCTGAAAACATTAATTTCTCCCTAACAATATAGTTAGACCTGTCCGGTGAGGAACCTTGTCAGATTTCAATGAATCAGATACTAGCCTACAAAGTCAACCTAGTCAAAAAGCCTATAAGGACTACTAAAAATTAAACTGACATATAAAATGGCTGACACCTTCGTAGATCTCCTTAGCATGGCTATATAGATTGAGTTGTCCTAAACCAAATAAACTTAAACTAACTGAGCAAAGAAAACAAGTAGTTAATTTCCAAAGGGTAGTTACCGTAATTTATGAAGCATCATAAAAGCAATAAAGAACAATAAATAAAAGGAAGAAACAAGAGACTCATTCAGCGAGGCCATCAAGTAAATATAGAGGTAAATATAAAGGTCCCCAGCCATAACTGAATATCAAGTAAAAGGAATGATTTGGTAAATCTAGCAAAAGGCTCACTCCTACTAGGGGCTGTTTGGTTGGCCAAAAAAACCAAAGAAATCAATTATAGGAAGTATATTCTCCAAAATAGTTATTGGATGATGAATTCAAGTGAAGAAGATACTGTGGCGTATTGTTATTGGATTATGATGTGGCACATTGTTATTGGATTATGATGTGGCTCATATTCAAGGAAAAACACATTTCATGCGTTTGTGTAAGGAAATGGGTGAAAACCCATTCTTAATTGTAAGAGATGAGATGAGCAGCTGTTTCTGGATTAGCATAGTTATTCAACAGTATAAGCGTAAGCATAAAAATTAAGATTTAAATAAAAAAAAAGCTTATGACAGCAATCAGAGCGTATATCAGAAATATATACATTAAATATAACTAAAAAGTTTAATAAGTTGAAATTTGAACTTTCAGAACGTCATGGTTCGAGTATTCAACCCAAATAACAAATTATAGAATAATACTTAAACTTTTAAAATGGTCCATCAGGATACAAAAACGTCATTTTCATATTCTATACAAGATTTGAAATCTAAATACCAAAAATACTAATTGCCAAAAAAAATCTAAAATGTTTTAAAAATAAAAATAAAAATCTTTTAACAGGAGGACATAATACCTCCAGATTCTATTCAGCACAGATCACACGAGCAAAGTTAAATCAAAATCAGATGAAAATCAGATGATAATCTAAAAAGTATAGTTAAAGCCATATAAATCACATGATCACATAACAAAAAACAAACAGATCTGATGCTAATCTAACGCAGGATCTATCAGATGATCGGAAATCAAGTAACGGAAACAAATTCATCAGTAGATGTAGAAATTTATAACTACCATGTAATCGGTGGCGATGAAGGGATCGTTGACGGCGACGAGCTCAACATCCTCGCTTTGGAGAATCACTCTAGCAACCAATCGCCCGATCCTTCCAAATCCTAGCCAAAAACAAAACAACCATTTACAAGAGCGGTCTCAGCCTTAGAATTCACAAAAATAAACGCGATGATCATTCGAATAACCGATCTAAGCACAGAATCACTCATTGAGATGAAAATAAAAAAATTTAAAAAAAAATAAGACAAATAAAGAAACTCACCGTTGATTCCGACCTTGATCTTCTGTCCAGCTGAAAAAAGAAGGGGAAAAGTGAGAAAATGGGAGATCGGAAAATGAGAGAAGAGGGGAAATAAGAAAGTTGACGGATTTACCCATGGCGATCTCCGGCGATGTAAGGGTAAAGATGTAATTAGGGAGAGATTCAGCGAGAGTGACGAAGAGAGAGCGTTTGTGTGTGAGAGGGAGGAAAGGGTTTAGGGGCGGTTATAAAGAAGTGAATGTGATAAGTGAACCCTCGTTTATATTTGTGTACGCACTTTTGCTGGTTTCTTTTTCTCCAAGCAAGTTGAAGATTTCATACTGTAATTTTACGTAATTGCAAATTTGCACCTTTGGAACATATTAGATATTACAAGGTGCGTACGGTCTGGATACGGTTCTGATATGATACTTATTATATCTGTATCTGCTTATCAATAATGGATATAGATATACATTGGTATGGAAAATTCATGACTGTTATAGCATGCAAATAGTTAAGTGTTGATTCCCGTTGGAAGGCCGACACGTGTCCCGCCATATGCCTAATCAGTCGTATTCGAAGAGGGATGACTCGGGCAACTCCAGCAATCGACCCAACATGCTGACAACTTGCGAGGCTGACTAAAAAGACGATACTTGTCGACCTACCCACAGGATCAAGACGAGAAGCATCCTCATTCGATCTATCATTCCAGTCGACCACACTCTCTATTGGCACTCGGCCCTTCTAGATCGACAACTTGTGAGGCAGACTAAAAAGACGGTGTTTCTGGTCTCCAGTGAGACGAGTCGCAAGGCGGTGTATTATCGAGCCCCCATTGATAGTCAATTGCCATCACATTAAACGCATGATCAGAACCATTATTGCTCCAGCCCTGAAGGTCTTTATGACTCATCGGACCTCATCAGCACTATGCGCATCCTGTCACCCTCACGTTAAATGCCTGGATGACTCACCCCCTTAGCGGCCGACACTTGTAAAGCAAATGATGATTGAGCTGCCAACTTAACTCGGCCAAAGTTATCTATCTACTCTTCTGATTTGCTATAAAAGGAATCTGAGCTCTCTTGCCTAGGGTAAACTATTCTAAATGATGCTAAGCAATTGTCTTGCTAAAAAAACTTAACTCTTATTTCTCAACTTAAGCTGTGAACTGACTTGATCGTCGGAGGAACTATTGGAGATCCTAACTCTGACCTCTTAAGAGTTCTTCATGTACATGATAGGACTTCTAGCTCAGGAACCAACCATCTGAGGACCCATAATTCACAGCTAAACCTCTTATTTGATAAATGACATCAACGATGACCTAAAATCGAATGCGGATACAATTATACTGTCAGATTTACATGTTGGTACATAATAGATATACGAGAACTAGATAATATTAAAAAAAATTATTCATATGATATAATAAAGTTTATTAATTTATTCATTATATTAATGGAAAGCCAATATTAGATATATTGATTATCAAAATTAAACTCAAATCCATTAATCCAAGGATTAAAATTGTCGCAATGATAAAACCAATATATATTAGGATATTTCAAGTACAAATCCAAATATTTCACCACATTACCATATCAGTAGTGTTATAGATTTTAGTAATCATCTCTGTATGGTAGAGATATGGATATTTTCTTGGATACGAATATTTTTGTGCTCCACCTTTTTTTTGAGTTGTATCAAGGATTATATGCTATTTCAATGTTTTCATAGTTTTACATAATTAATCAACTTCTTATTTGTGAAAATGGATCCACATAGAACATACACAGTCTGCATTAATAAAATTGTTTAACATTTTCACAATATAGCTATTGTAATTAGTCTAGGATCTCTTACAACTTAATTATGATCTTAGTTGAGAAAATAAATACCATCACACTACCATTGGTTTTGTAATTGTTATTTTATAATTTATTACTATATACTAAATTAATTGTCAACAATTGCATGAATGAGAAGTGACTCCTTTTTTTTTCATTTGCAAACTTTAACTACAATTATAAAATCGTCATGTTGTTTTTTTGTGAGTATATTTTCAATAAACACATACATTGTTGTACTTGTAATATTAATCTTTCTAATTTTCAATGAAAAGGTGACTAGTAATTCTTATTTATAGTACTATTTAGCTTGAAAAAAAAACTAACTATCAAAATCAGAATATTGCACGATAATTAATGGGTGGAACAATATAGTAATACTAAGTCATACGCATCACAAGAAAAAAAAACTAATTATATATGTTGGAATTATATAATAAAAGATAACTTAAAACTTGACTTTGTAGAGGAAAAGAGGGAAAGTTTAGTCACGGGGTTTATAAGTAACGGCTGTTTTTCCCTATAAAAGGATCTAAAATCCGCAGAGTTTAACACAGCGGAAAAAGCAACAACCTCTTCTTCACCTTCTCTGTTCTTCTCTTTCAAAATACTTACTGTTACAATTTGCTGGTTCCCTGAAAGTTTACGAAGAATTCGCAAAGCCTTCTTGAAGCTCGTGCCGACGAGAAGGAGGTCGCCTGACCGAGGGTCGTTGTATCTCCGGGAGCTTTTGCCGCGTAGCCCTGTACGAGAGGGGGCAATTAGTTTCTTGGGACAGTGCTTGCACGCCTCGACCATCAGGCCGTATTTCTAACCTCTATTTACTTTTCATTTGATATATTTCTTATATCTGCGTTATAATAGTAATTATCTGTTAATTATCAAATTGCTTAAACTGATTTTCGTTATTGTCTAAACAGCTAAGATTCCCAACAATATATATATTTATAAATAGAACAACATATAATGGAGACACGTCGTCATTCAACTACAAATAACAAATACCAGAGCAATCCTAATTTGAAAAAGAAAATTAATCAGTGGCTAATACGTAAAATGGTTCATTTAAAAAAAACAAGGGGCGTGTGGTTACTAATTCCCATTTATAGAGCCGTTGCGACCGAGAGACAATGTACCTGTGGGCGGATCTGTTGACAAGAGATCTCGAAACCCGGCGGCTGCTTCACCAAGACCAGCCAGCTGGACTAGCTTGAGATAACGGGTCTGCAGTTCTACCATAGCGGCAGCCGCCCGCAGTGCAGGCCTACGCCGAACGTTCGACCCTTCGTGAAGCCGCTCGAGCCTGCTAGGCGTTCGTGACGTCGCGACGTGCGATCGGGTACAGAGAGGGGAAAACGCCCTCCAGGTTTTGCACGTATTACGGATGTTGCCATCGGGTTCGGGTACTCAAAAGGGAAGATTCTAGAAGTCTCCGCCTCCGGGTCGGAGTTGGCTGTGGACCATGGTTTCGTGCCGCGTGAAACGACCGGCCGCCCAAGGCAAGACAACGAGGATGGCCTGTTTGGCTTGGGCCAATAGGAAAGGGTTCAGATGGGCCCCACTTTATTCTCTAGGCCCAAGGTACGGGAATACCCTTGTCGAGTTGGACCGAACGAAAGCGTGGGATTAGGAACCTGTACTTGGTGTGCTTGGGCCCAAAGAAAGGCAAAAGCATTTATACTTCGTTCATTTATTTATAGCTGAATTACAAGTATTTTTTTTTCAGCACCTTTTTAGATGACACCACTCCAGTATAACTATCGACTGAAGAAAAATAAACATTTTATATCTTTTAGAAATTTACTATTTTGTGATACGTCTACTTTTATAACTTTTCACTCAAATAATTTTTACTTATTTAAGCATTACTAGTAAAAATATTTCTTGAGGTATGGTTACAAAGACTTCTGAAAAATAAAATCACTACAAGTATCTTGATGAACAACTAAGAGTAAGTTTCTTACCTAAAAAAAAAAAGACCAAGAGTAGTTTCAAGTTCAAGAGGAGGCTTTGCTCCATAACCCCACAACTTTAGGGGCTATTCACAATAACCGTCTAACCGTAATTTCACTTCACCCCCCCCCCCCCCCCCGCTAATCCAAAATAATAATAATAATTTGGAATGTCTCACAAACCCATGAACTTTGAAGTTTCCTTACTAGACACCCCTGCATGTAATTTTCAAATAAAATAAAATTTCATTGAGAGAAAAAAAATCCAAAAAATAGGCGAGGGAAGTTATGTCGTGTGTAAATGACAACCGGCAAAATTTGGATTTTTTTTTTCTCCCAAGGACATTTTAGTTATTTACAAATTATATGTAGAGGGTTCAATGAGAAAGTTCAAAGTTTAGAGAGGTTTCGTGAGACACCCTAAAGTTCAAGGGGGTTAATCGAGACAAACAAAGTTCATGGTGGTTATGTGAAACACCCCCCTACCATCCACCACCCAAAATTCAAGAGGGTTAAGTGAAATTAACCCAATAATATTTTCCATAAAATCATCAGAGTCAATGGTCAGTTACAACTTACAAGGGAGGGGAAAAAAAAATTTAAAAGAGTTCATGTGACGCATGACGTGACATTGTACTCGATCCCACTAGAAGAAAAGTTGTAATGGGAAGGAAAATTCTGGAACGACAAATAAAGACACGTGATTTGATTAAAAAAAATAACAATCACAAACTTTGCATTTAGACTTTCCACCAATATACTTACAAGACAAAACGCTCATTAATAACAGCGACTTGCTTCGCTACAACTACCATCTTGCAACAAGCACACAGTTTGTCACACCCGTAATTTGATTAAAAAAAATGAACTCTTTTTTATTGAAAAAAAAAACTCTCTTGCTGACTGTCCACGATGACGAAATGAAAATCCGACCTTTATACATGCATAAAAATGGAGAGAAAAAAAAAATCAAATCCTTCCACATTCATCCATTTTCTATAATCAAAAGCGAAGGTCATATGTCAGGAGTATATTCAATCTTCATTTGAGATCATCGAACACGTTCCGTACAAAGTTCACAGCATACCGCCACTACGACAACAACACAACACCGCATAATATTTTAAAATCATATGACCATCACGACATAGAAACCGCTAAGCATAGAAATTCTTAAGATACTGTGTAACCTTCTGATCTTACACACACAAAAACCAAAAAATCAAGAAAAGTTGCAATGCAAAATGCCTTCATTATCCCAAGTGGAAAGGAATTAGAAACGCCCCCCCCCCCCCCCCTCCCACACACACACACACACAAATCAAGAAATTGTAAATCAGACCCTAGATATAACAAGAAAAATCAAAGCAAAGCATACCCCTTTCCATTTTCTATGATTAAAAGCTGTAGGCATGCGTCACCACAGCATCATATTAAACAAGTTCACAACAATACAACGCCACAAAACCACAACATTATGAAATCATGTTGTCATGTAATCTTTTCATCACACACCCAAAAAAAACAAAAAAAAAAAAAAAAAAAAAAAACCCACCAAAAAAAAAAAAAAAAAAAAAAAAAACCCACAAACCAGAGAACCCTCCTTGAATGGAGGAAGCCAACGAATTTTTTTGAAAAAATACACCATACAAACCACTATCACAAGAAGATCATATAATACATAACTCAAGCAAAGGATTGTTACACACAAATTAAAAACCCTTGTTGATAGGAGGAGGCCAGGACAACCTCCTCAAATTCATCCCATCCTCAGGCTCACCACCCTCAGCTCTGTGACTGCCCACCACTGAGTCATCAGAACTCGCATTCCCATCTCCTCTCCACTGAGGTGGCGTCAAGTACTTGGAATCATCGTCCCCTGTCGATGAATTTGTTGGAGTCATGAGAGAGGAGTTCTGGCCTGCTCGGAGGTTTTGGAGGGTTGAGAATGAGTCCCTCATCGCCGACATTGCTTCGAAGAATCGAGTGCATGATGCCAAGGCTGCAGGGATGGGCCGAAGCATTTCCTTGATTTGTGATGGAGAAATTTAGTACATTGAATGACATGGTTTAAATTTTATAGTGAAATATGAGTTACAATTTCAAAATGACAAAAAAATGCAGGGGTCCACCCACTTGTTAAAACTTAAAACTATGACTCAATTAGTGGTGACGCAAATCTTTGGACATGGAATCGTGAGGACTTACTTCGGGAAAATAGTTTCTTGAGTTGCTGAGTTTTGCTATTTGCTATGCAAGTAATTGTAACTTTAACCGCAGTTACAATTTAGAAAAACAAGTTGCAGATGTTAGTTTTTGGCAACTATAACATTTTTGTAACCGCAATTTTAAAATATCAGTTTTCACAAAAATTAAATGGTTCCAAAAAACTGAGTGCATAATGCCAAGGCAGTGGGGATCTGTCAGAGCTTTCCCTGATTTGTGATGAAGAAGTTTAGTTCATGGGATGATATTGTTTCATATTGGCAATGGAATATAGGTTCCAATAGAAATGTTCTGTAACTAATGTTCAGAATGGATCTAATTATGATTCCGTTTGATGTAGCCAAAGGGAAATCTTTGGACATGGAAGAATTGCTTCAGGTAAGTGATTTATTGACTTGCATTTAGGAGCTCTTTACTACGTGAAAATTTGTAATTTTAACTGCAGTTACGATTTACAGTATAGTTGTATTGTTTTTTTCCACAGGACATCATATTTTGTAAGAGCGACCTGCCATCAAATACAAACAGTTACAACTGCAAGAACAAGTCTATGTTTCCAAATTGGTATTGCAGTTGTAGTTGGTTTCTTTTCTTCTGCGAACTAAACAATTCGTTAGTGCACCTCTCGAAAGGAAAAAATGGCCTTCTTCAGGAATTGAAGAGCGTGGAAGTTTCACTTATATAATGTGCGGCACCTTTACAAACTTTTCCATGTCAGAGTCGCTATTTTTGTATTAAGTTTCATCTTCATATGTTTTCAAGTACATGGATACAGACTGGGGTCATTCTGTTCATAATTCTAATTCCAGAGGTAAAAAGAAGGCCATATACCAATTAATAACCTTTAAAGCACAACAAAATGACTTAAAATGCAGATATGTAACTTCACATCAAATATTTAAGTGTCCATGTGACGTATATGAGAGGTTTCTTACGATTATTGGACAAGATTTGGAAAAGGAGAATATTGATTTTGCAAAGCAAGCTATTTAAGTATTAGAAATGATCAAGACAGTCTTCTCATCTTACCCCCCATACTGCTGGTGACTCTCTAAAATTCTGGCTCCACTGGAAATCAGCAACTGATGCTGTCAAAGCCCCATAATCACTTGCAGCCTTCAGTAACAACTCTGAAAATTGTTTCTGAGCATACCAAGCAAAATATTTCGTAAGATTTGCCTTCATATTACGCATAGATACTAAGAATTACTTCATACTGGTGTGCAATATATCAGAAGCATCAAGCATGTATTTGATATGTAAGTACAAATTTCGAGGCTCTTCCTTGGAAGCTTGTACATGAGACTTTCTTCAAAATAAATATGTACATTTAAGGTTGAAAAGCATGATGAGCCGTAATAGCTGTATAAAAGTCAAAATTGATAGCAAAAAGAAGCCCTAAGTTTTAAGATACCAAAACCCAGTCTAAGGAATATGTATGTACAAATATCTATCCAACCTTTTTTTTAAATCGGTAGTAAAGGACTGACAAATGAAATCACAGATAACATATCGAGAAATTATACATTTACAGTTTTTCATGCAGTGGAAACAAGTCAAAAATCTTGCAATCTGTCTGATGTGAAAATGGTTGTATAATCTTGATTTCGGACACCCATATGTTATCATTAGAATAGAGTGAGATATACAACAGCACTATGCTAGTAGTAGAATGGCTTTCTTCTTTTTGTTTTATAAGTTGAAAAGTAACTAGGTTCATATATAAGCAAACATCAGACAGCCGCCAAGATAAAAGCTTTAGTTTTAAACATTTAATAATTGTCTCATGTGCATGCAATTACACACTACTTAATGTAGCATTAAACATTTCAAGCACAAGATTTTCCTGACTTCATATATAAGTTCCAAGGTCACCTATTAAACATGTTGAGAGCCAAGAGAGCTGAAAACTGTTTTGTCATTCTTGAACCGTTGTCATTGTTCTCTAATATTTTTGCTGCCTGTTATCATTAGTAAGTATGAAGGGCCATAATCCACACAAATAAAGCAAACAACAACAACGCTCACAACCACAAACGAGACAAGGATTTTACATGGATTTAATAATTGTCTCATGTGCATGCAATTACACACTACTTAATGTAGCATTAAACATTTCAAGCACAAGATTTTCCTGACTTCATATATAAGTTCCAAGGTCACCTATTAAACATGTTGAGAGCCAAGAGAGCTGAAAACTGTTTTGTCATTCTTGAACCGTTGTCATTGTTCTCTAATATTTTTGCTGCCTGTTATCATTAGTAAGTATGAAGGGCCATAATCCACACAAATAAAGCAAACAACAACAACGCTCACAACCACAAACGAGACAAGGATTTTACATGGGTCAGGTAAGGGCAATTTGGTAGCCTACAATTGGAGGGTTGCATGGGCCACTTTATGAATTGCACACTTGATTCTTTGCAAGTGAGTGCTTGCAGTTACAACTGCAATCGTGGAACCCTCTTAGTTGCAACATATGACTTGGACCGAAAAAAACTGCAAGTCATTCTTGCAACTTAAATGAAATAAAAATCTTTTCAAGTTGCAACTGTAGGTGCCACAAAGCTTAATAAAAATATCATACCTTACCACTGAGGGGTGATCTCATGTGGCTAGGGGTAGACCCGGACACAGACTGGGTTCGGACAAGGTTTTTTGGGCAGTGCTTGGCTCTCTGGTACCCGGAAGCTGCCCAAATCCGGCCCGCCAGCCCGATCCGCTGGGCTCCAGGTCGGGCCGGGTCTAAAAGCCCGCTCAGAAGCTATTTTTTAACTTGGTTTTATATATTTCTTAAACTAATATAGTTAAAATTTTAAAAAAGAAAAGTAATGTAAAAACTTAATATAAGAAATGGATCAGGCCCTTGGGCCAAGCTTATCTTTATTTAAATGGTTCAGGCCCATTTTGGGTGTGTTTGATAACTCCAAAATTGAACTAGACTAGACTAGTTTATTCTTAACTAGACCAAAGTTGAATCATACAAGGATAGGTTCACAAAAGAACTCGTTTATATGCAAGATTTTGAACTAGAAAAAACTAGTTCAATTTAGGACAAATTTTTGCCAAAATAAAAACAAGGTTTTGGACCAATATTGTACCACTTAAAACAAGTTTTGTGGAGTTGCTAAACACAACCTTAGGAATCATTTCAAGCCCATATTAGGTCTAAGCTCAGGTCCGAGCTCGGGTTTTTAGCCCTCTGCCAGCCTGACCCATAAATAATCTAGGTCTAGCTGGGCGGTGTTTTAGGATGACCCGGCCTATGGCCATCTCTAGCTAGGGGTTGAGATTATAGCCCTCAAGTGTATGGGTTCATTCCTATTACTTGAATGCACCTGTTATCGCTAGAGTTAACTGTACTTAGCAGTATCTCGGATTTACTTGGCTGGTACTCTCAAAATTGGCACATAGGACTTGGATTTGAGCCCCGCATGAGCAACTAACAAAGCAGGTGGTAAGCCACAATAATTGGCGTGGCTCTCCTGTGGTAAGTGATGCTCAAACTCATGGCTCTTACCTGTTACCTCAGGAGGGTAGCCAAGGTTCTTTTGCTTTAAAAAAAATAATATCATACTTTTAAAATCTAAAAACTCTCAATAATTTGGAAAACTTATAATTTCTCTCAAAAAAAGGAACATTTAAATAATCATTTCTTTTCAAAAAAGTTATTATTCCTAAAAAATTCATATTTTTTCAAAGCAATTTAAAATATAATTTTAAAAAAAAAATTAAAAAGTATTTTTCAAACAACCCTTTTTAATTATTTTTTTAAAATTATATTTTCTTGAAATGTATTTTTCCAACAATATACATTTTTTAAAATTCATATTTTTTCATAAAAATAACTTTTCTTCTGATTTTTTTAAATAATTTATTTTCTTTCAAAAGAACGTTTTTTAAAATATTACGTTTTACAGGCATTTCCCAAAAAACTAATCATCCTAAAAAATGAAATAATATTTTTTATTAATAAAAAGCATGAAACGTCCAAAAATTAGAAAAATTCATAAATTTAATTTTTTTGAAAAAAATGCTTGATTTATTTCTAGATTTAATTAGTATATCCTCAAAAAATACTAAAAATCTAAACATGCAAATAGTAATTTAAATGGTTTCCAAAAAAATTAAGAAGCATTTATTTTTTTAAAAATTAAATGCCTTGGAAATACAAAAATTAAAATTTTCACCTAAAATGTTCTTTTTAATTTATTAAAAGTAAACAAGTAGCATATGAGAAGTAGCAAGTAGAAACAAACAGTTGCAATGTTTCAATTTTATGCAAGTGTCAGTCACGCAACTAGTTGTAGACTACCAAATGCCCCTAAGCACAAACTTATATCCATAGGAGAACGACATCAAATTGATTCTTTCGCTATAAATAAGAGATTACAAATATTTTCGCTATAAATAGGAGATTACAAATATAAGAGAGATCTCACCTCCGGTAGGAGAATACAAAAGTTTAAAGAACCTGAAAACATATTACTACCTTGGAGAATATGGACCAACACAAACCCTCAAGAGAATCCTCCTCTTATTCAACCTCCAACAAGCTCCAAGAAACCATAGAAAAGGCTCTTCGCTAAGCTTCTCTATTTTTGTTCTCTCTTTTCTATTTTCTCATCTCTTTTTTTTCTCGCTATTGGATTTTCTCATCTCTCGTTTCTCTCTAAACCACTTCACTCCCTATACTAATGACCCTCAACAAATATAGTCATTGGATCAAAGACAATCCAATGACTCACTAAACATTAGTTAGATAGAATTTGGGTATGAGTTAGATTTGGCTTCACCCATTTAATCCAATATCAACAATCTCCAACTTGAGGATAAGTCATCAACCTTCAACACAATCACGCATAATCAATGTCCCATCAAAAGAAAATCCTATTAAAATTATAAATATCCAAAAGATCTTGACTCTTTTGTTTAGTAAGCAATGGTAAAGCTGACTTCTCTCCTCTTGCCAGTAAAAAGGAAGGGCTATATCTCAACAAACCTACAAAGTTTCCTAAGCAAAATCTGCTTCTCATTAGGAACTACTTTTGTTAACATATCTGTAAGATTCTTCCTCGTATGAATCTGCTTAACATTCAACTACTAACGGTCCAAAATCATCCGAATGCAATGACGACAATGATCAATATGCTTCTAAAATTATAACGAAGTCTACTTAACATTTTCTGTTATTTTTTTACTGAGTTTGACCATGTGATGAGGCACTTGACTCTATGCAGCGTTTTTTGCTCAACTCAAAGGTACGTTTATTCTGGTGCAGTTCTCATGTAAGAGTTAATATTTGCTTACAACCGTAAATTATCAATTGATGATTTACATCTTTCTCCCTATGGGTGGGTGAGCCATTGCTTAATGTGGGCAGGTAAATGTTATGGATGGGGGAGCTTACTAAATTACTAACACTGATCTATGTCTATCTTTCTTGCAATAAATATTCACCCCAAATGTAACACTCTCACTCACATAACTAATACGGGATACGCCAGAATCATCACTTAATGTGATAAGATGGGAGAGTAGGCAAACACTTAACTTGGGTAGCTTGGTAAACACCTTATTCAATCGGCTATCATATGGTTAGCTTGGAAAAAACGCTACTCCATCGACTATCACTCAACTCACTCACCATCTTGATGTTTAACAATAGGTGATAGTTAATATTAGTTTATAATTAAGCAAACATTAGGATGAAGAAAAAAAGAAATAAATAGTACTAATCATATCATAAGATCATGATATATTATGAAAGGCTAGATTACTAGATTGATATTTTTTGAACATTCCTCTTGCCAGTTTGGTATTTTTTTAGCTCCAGTGATGTTTTCATATTTTTTGGTATATTTCTGAGCCAAACGTGCAATTAGACCCAAAACTTTGCCGCTGGCAAAAAACACCATGAAACCTTTCTTCCTAGCAGTTTTTAAGCTCCCAAGCTTTTTCTTCAATATATTTGGAGGTAATATTAATCCCCGCCTTCTTTGTCTTGAAATTTACTTCTTTATAGTGGACATAACATTCTTGCATAAACTTGGTAAGGTAACATACAGGGGACTAGTATGGAAATATACACACATCTTTTTAAGTAATTTTCTTTGCATTTCAGGTGTAATAGAAAAATGGGTTTTAATTTCCATGTACTTTTGAATTTAATAGTAGGATTTCGAAATAGGATTTATATTTTCCTGCACTTTAATAATTTTTGGTTATATGCTAATGATTTAAGTAATTACAAAAATATTTCTTTTTTAAACTTTTACTTTAGGTTTTTCTGACACCTATTTGCATACATGAAAGTTAATTACACATTGCATATTCAATCACTTTTTGATTGATGCATAGCATAGCGATCGTATTTTGGCCCCGGAGAAGAAAAATCATGACTCGGCCACTGACTGTGGGTGAGTTGAGTTATAGCTGATCAAGTAGCGTGTATGTCAATCTAACCACATGATAGTAATTAATGTTATAATTTATAATTAACCAAACAATTAAGATGAAGAAAAGAAGGAACAAGTTGTACTAATCATTTCATCAGATCATGAAATGTTATGAATTGGGAGCTTACGAATTTAATAACACTACCCAGTCTACCCTGTACGTCTTTCTTAAAACGGAGATTTACATGCCACATGTACCACTCTCTCACCCACACAACTAATACGAATACACCATTACAAAAATTAAGATAAAGAAAAGAAATAAGTATTACTGATGATATCATGAGATCGTGATACATTATGAATGTGGAGCCTACTAAGTTATAAAAACTATCCTTTGTTCGTCTTTCTTGTAAGGGGGACTTCCAAGCCATAGGTATCACTCTCTTATTTGCACACCTAACACCAATGCAATAGGATCATCGCCTAATATAGGTAGATAGGTGGGCCAACACCTAATGTGGGTAGATCGATGTAAACATCAAGCTAGTGAGTGAGTTGAGGGATAGCCGATCAGGTAGTGTGTATGCCAATCTAACTACATAATAGTAATTAATATTATAGTTTATAATTAAGCAAATAATTAAGATGAAGAACTGGTACTAATCATACCAATAGATCATGAAATATTATGAATAGGAAGCCTGCTAAGTTATTAGTTTATTACCACACCTGTCGTCTTTCATTCTTGTAATGGAGTAACACTCTCACTCGTAGACCTGCTACCAATACACCAAAACTACCACCTCATGTGGGTAGATGGATGGGTGCGTCATCACTTAATGTACTACTTGTTAATACTTTATGAAATAACACTTGAAATGTCATTTTCCTAAAGATATTGAGTTTTTTGGATTGAGTTCTATTTGCTATTTGGGTCAGGTTAGGAACTCGAAACCAAACTCAAACCAAACTAAAAAAACCTCAATCCAAAAAAAATCATTATCAGCTAATAAGTTCACACTGATATATCAGTCAATATAGTGGATATTGGCCGATATATCGGAATTTTTTTTGTAAAAATCAGAAAATACACTATAAACATGTAAATATCAATGCGGGCCATAGTAAACCCCGATATACCAGTCAGTATATCGGTATATCGACTAATATTTTATACGCTATCAAGGATTGACTTTGGATGAAGAAGGTGGAAGCTTCACTAGTGAAGCGGAAAAAACTTAGTTATGTTCTCTTTCTTCTCTATGTGTTTGCCTGTGCGATAACAAAAAATGATGTTTTTAGTTAACAATACATAACATAATGAATTTATCTTATAATTCTTGAATACACACGCTTTTAAGCTAGGTGAAAAACTAAGTTGCATATGAGTACGGGACACGGTAAATATGTAAAAGGTAGGGTATGGGGACACGGCTATATATGTGCATGTTATGTATAATTATATGTATTAAAATTAATAATTTACATAAGATCAATATTGTTTTTTCATTTACATAAATCAATATATAAGAAATAGATGTGAAGCGTAGAATATACATCCAAGAAGTGTATAAGGAGTGTTTTAAATTAAAACATATATTATATAATTGAGTATACGCCTAAACAAACATATGCATATTTTCAAGAAGTGTCCAAGAAGTTTCGGTACGAGTACGTGTCAGGTACGGGTCTGGCTTCCTAATAGAAGAACTCAGGTAACATAGGCGGAAAACTAATGGTGTTTTACACAGAATGAGGATGGCAAAAACTTGAACAAGTAGTAAGCTAAGGGGTATTCTAATGATGGCATAGGCTTCAAATATTCGAAAAAAATATTTGACCTATACAGACCGAATACTCACAGGAACATGTCCATACACTGACTCCTATCAAGATCCATGACAACCAAAGCCCCAAATGCTTCATCCAAAAGAAAATGCCAAGCAGAGCTCCCAAAGGCCCTGGCAAGAAGCTAGGGCTAGTTTCATCCCTAACCCTGATCGTCAGATTGCCCAAATGCTCCCAATAGAAGGCGTTGGCCAGATCACCCAAATCCCCTATTAGGAAACTGCCAGCTGCACCAAAATGCCCCTAGTAGGGAACTACCAGTCAGAGCACCCAAATGCCTCATTGATTAGGAAACTATTAGCGACACCAAAATGCCTTAGCAAGGAACTGCCAGCTTGAGCATCCAGATGCAGCAACAAGGAAATACTAATACAAAACTGAAGAACATTTTGAAGTTCAACTATATGATTGTAGCAATGTCGATCACAGTGTTGGTGAACATCAAATGTTTTGTGCCTTTGCATTGGTATTTTCTGGCTGCTGCAGCATTTGAGCGCACTTGCTAGCAATTTTCTACTAGGGTATTAGGGTGCTTTGGCTGGCAGTCTCCTGATGGGCTTTAGGTGATTTGGCTGGTAGTTTCACGTTGGGGCATTTAGGAGTTTCAGATATGAAACTAGCCCTACTTCTTACCAGGGTATTTGGAGCTACGCTTGATATTTTCTTCAAGCCAGGGCATTTAGCGCTCTAGTCGTCAAGGATCTCGATATAGATATGTTGCAAGGATCCAGTCTATGTGGGTTTGTTTAAAGCCAAATACTTGTCCTGAAAAGATCAAATGCCCTCGTACTATTTGCAGATATGCTAAACTTGACCTTACAAGAGAGCCTAACCTAATCCGGACGCAATTAATGATTGCATACGAGATCGTATTGTTCTTTGTAGAGAGAGATAGGAGGGAGGGGAGACAAAGGCATATGTGATGCCATATATAGAGCTTTTTGTTTGATGATGGGTAGGATTTTTTGAATTTAAAATGGATGTCTTGGAGTGGGATCAATCATGTTTTCCGATTTCCTTTTTCTTAAAAAAAAAAGCTTTAACATAGGGGACAGAGGTAAACATAGGAGGCTAGAGTTAAGTTAACCCTAAGATTGTAAAATTTTTAACATGAATTAAAATGAGGGATGAAATTGAGGGGAAAATACAATTTGAAGGGTAAATCTACAATTATAAAGATTTCAAGGGTAAATTTAAAAAATACATTCAATTTGGGGAGCATATATTCGAAAAACATATTTACTATATGTAAACGCTGAAAATTCTTTCAAATGCTTCACTACTCAAAAAAGAGATTCAAAGTATAAAACAAATATCTCCACATGCAACGCACATGCACTACACTGGCTATAAAAGTATGACTACTCACAAACTGGAGTAAAGACGTATGTGGGATACAATGCACATTTCAGAAAAGACTCCTCCCACGATAAGCTTTTTTAAAGGAGTACATGAAGTTCTGAATTTAACTCGCACCTCCTAGGCACATGTCCATGTTTTGAATCCTCATATGCCATCAAGTCATTGACAAAAGGTACCATAACTAGTTAATTCCATGGAATGCTAATACTTTAATAATATCAACTTACAGTTCACACAGTCATTATTACTTAAATCATAAGTTAAAATTCAAACCTGATACTCAGCTTCCACAGGTATACAATCAAGAGAATATGGCTGCTGAAGACGAGCAATGATACGGTCCTGAAAACATACAAGTGCAATTTATTCCATACTGCAATTATGACCTAATAATAAATAAAGACACGTCATACTAGTCACTGTAGACGGTTCAGATTCAATACAGAAGTTCTTTCAGATTGATGAAAAACCTATACAACAGGGTGGGACAATGATAGCTTGGCAAGTTGGTGACTATTCAGAATTAACACTGAGAAAACTGGATAGTAAAAAACATAGGGATTATAAAAACAAACCATACTCCATTTATATGGTTTCAGATATTGAACTAATTGGTTCAGTAGAATGTCCACGTTCAGACCACTTCTTACATGGAGTTACACGTCACTTAATAACAAACAATCTATTTTGGTCCAACAAAAAGAAAAAAGATTGGAATTTGTTCAGAATAGCTACAAATATAGAGGATTCATGTGTAATTAGAAATTACCCTCAAGTGAGATTTATATAGATGAAGAATGACATAAGAGTATGAGTATAGCTGAAAACTCATGTGATTGGAACCAGAACAGATAAAAGTCCCAACTAGAGGCAAAGAAAAGCCTGGTTCTGAATGACACCATCTACAAAAAATCCCTAATTCAGATTGGGACTATCAATATGACTCGTTATTCTCTATAAGATTTCACATAAAGTAAATAAACACTAACAGTCTTTTGCACACCAAAAAAAGGTCTTTTTGTTGAAATAATAAATAATACTAGAAAAATTTACTATTGAACTTTACTTAAGAAAGGAAAGACAGGAATATGTGTACTTTCCAGAGGCATTACCTTATTCTGAATAACATCTTTTAGTATAGCAGTAATTCTGGCCAAGGATTCACATTTCTTTTCCATTTCACTGACATGAGTTATATGTGCAACATTTTTGTCATCCTGGGGAAAAAGCAATCATGTGAATCAAAGAGCTTGAAAAACAAGTATATTTCCAGAAGTAAACAACCATTATTTGGTCATGCTCAAAATATTAAGGGGCATATCAGTAATGTTTGTTTGAGGATAAAATATAGGTGGTGGAGGCAGTTACCTAAAGACAACAATATAATTTCGTCAAAATGCAACTTAAAGAAAGAAAGAAAGCTATTGATGATAATGGCAATTAATTAGAAATAATATTCATATCTTACCACGGGGTAGTCGCATAATTCCAAATGAAAAAGCGGAGATTTGGATGTTGATTACTTCCTAACAACACTTAAGGGCTGTTTGGTAGCTAGGAAATAGACCTATAACGAGGAGTTAGAATTTTTTTTGGGGGCAAGTTGTTTCTATTTATTTCAATAAAAGGTTTTCCCCATATTAGTCCTTTAAATCTTTAATATTTGGAATCGGTCCTCAAATCTCAAATTTGTTATTAACTCTTCCATTTCTTAAGTAATAATTCCCAAATTAGTCCCTCAAATCATTAACATTGCCATTAAGTTCCTAAATTCTCATGATTAATTAGAAACGACTCCTGAGAATTGCCGGCCTTAATAGCAATTTCAATGAGTTGTGGGACAAATTTAAAAGTAAATTAAAGAATTTGGAGGGACCTTATAGGAATTTCGATGATTAATGGACTAATTTCAAAATAATTAAATATTTAAGGCCCTAAGGGACTAAAACAAAGTCTACATATGAAAGCAGTATTTTTCCTACTGGTTTTTCTTTTGGGGTTCGGGGGGGTCCAACCGTCCAATCGCTACTTCATCTTAGCGACAGATGATGGGTTGCACTTGCATTTGTAAAAAGTAGGGTACGGGGACACAGCTATAAATATGTATGTTATGTATATTTATATGTATTAAAATTAATAATTTACATAAGATCATTATTTTTTCATTTATATAAGATCAATATATTAAAAATAGATGTGAAGTGTAGAATATACATCCAAGAAGTATATGAGGAGTGTTTTAAAATTAAAATATGTGGTATATAACTGAGTATAAGATTGAACAAACGAGTGCATACATTCAAGAAGTTTGGGTACGAGTACGCGTCCAGTATGGGTGTGGCTTCCAAATAGAAGCCCAGATAACATAGATAATAACAAAAGCTGCAGTACGAATTTTATAGTTCTAATGTCTCATTACAACATAATATCATAGTAATAAAGTGCAAGAAGCTATATCATGTAGAAAAAACTGCAACACCTACTACAGCCGATTCGGCTGCAGCAAATGCTAGGCTCCTTGAAAGAAAATAAGAAATTGAGAACATTCTCAGATCAACAAGTTAATGCACTTTTATCATAAAAGAACTACAAATCCTGCAAATTTTGCACCTATTTAAAAACGAAGTTCTTGCAACATGAGTGCAAATCTTGCGACTTTTACAACTCATCAAACATCAGATTTAACTGCAGATGCATTTTCCTGCTATAAAAGTGCAAATAATCAATGGATTTGGGCTAAGTTTTTCCTGCAAGAAGTGTTGATTACATAATATTCTACATTTCAAGCAATACAATAAACAGACCCTAAGGTGGTGAAAGTGGTCTTGAAGGGACTAACCAATATTCTCATTTTAAACATTTAGGTATAATCGTATAAGATATCATGGAGTCACTTTAATTGAAGTTAAGGGTTTTTGTCATATTAGACCCCAAAATCTTTGTTAATTGTATATTAGACCCCCAAAATCTTCATATTTCTAATTAGAACACCAAAACTCTTATTCTGTTTTAAAAGAAACACCTGTGAATGAATTCCATCCAAAAATTCTACTGTTAGCATGGTTAACTATAAACCATTTTAGTTAAATTGTATTGGTATTTAGGTTTCCCCCAAATAGGCAAAAGAGACCAACAAAAAGAAGAGATCAAGGAAGAAAAAGTGGAGAGAAACCGTGGGAAAGAGGAGAGTAGGAGACATTGGGATAGAAAGGGGAGGTGAGTCCACTAAGTGGGAGCAAAATCTGATCATTACTTTCATCAATAACATAACGATCTCAGAAAAAAATACAATGGAAAAGGAGTGGGTACTAGCTAAATCTAACCAGAGGGTATTTTTTAGAACAACTTAAAAAATTTGAGGATCTAATTTACAATATGAAGATTTAGGGGTCTAATATACAATTAACAAAGATTTGAAGGTCTAATATGATAAAAACACTAAAATGAATCACACATGCCTTTCTAGTTTTGGAGTAATCTCTGCTAGCTTGGTTGAGTTCCTTGGAAACTAGAGACATGACCTAGGTAGCACGGACACAGGTGCAGACACGCACACAGACACAGACATGGACATGGCAAATTCGTAAGATGTAGGACATGGGGACACGGCTATGTGTGTGTGTAAAATTTACATGAGATCAAATACTGAATTAAAATACATATAACATTTGTATATTTCATTTATTATCTACAAAAACTAAGAATCAGATTAAAATAAAACTAAGAATAAGGTTTAACAACAAAAGTTTAATTTTGATCACATGAGATAATACAATGGATATTTTTCAAATATTTAAGTAACGAGTGTCAATTTTTGGGTTCAAAAAAACTAATTGGTTTTGAACCCGATATTACCAAGAAACTACTTTACAGTATAAGTAATGAGGAAATCGGATTTTGCTTTGAACCACACGTGTCCATGGCGTGTCTATAGAGAATCCGCATTCGACACTGTCTAACATGGACACGACAACCAAAACACCATGTCCAAGTAACCTAGGGCATAACAATTGTAACAGACAAATTGAGAAGAAAAGCAAGAGCAAAAACAAAGAAAAAAAATTAAACATGCAATAATTGTAACATAAAATCCAAAGAACAAGTAGGAGCAAAAGGAACAATAATGATAGGTTATTACACGCTAAGTGATATTGAATAATCCAATGCGGGTATGTGTTAAAGAGAACTCTACTTCCAACAGAAACTTAGGAACAATTGAAGCTAACATTTTTAAAGAGAAATCTTGAAACTTCTGCAGTGAAGTATACTGAAGCTGGACAAGTTCGAGAAGCACAACCCCTTGGGAAGCTCCTCGCTCTGGGTGCGAAAAGTGGTATAGACAGAAGTGACAGAACTAGATGCTATTCCAAATGTCATAAGAAACTAAGTGTTACACGAAGAAAATGTCACGCTACACAAGAATATGGTAAGGATCACCAATTGAATATGAGGGAGCCATCTCTAGAATCCATGAGAGTCATCTGTCTAATCAATAGTCATCTCTTCTCATCACCAAGTATAGTACGAGTATGGGGATGATGCAATATCCTAAAGAGTGAATTATAATATCCCAATTACTATCAAATGATCTCATATGGGATATATGTGGTCAAGGAAACACCTTCACATAATAGTTCCTATCAGCTAAAGAATTAATTACTACCAACACTTTGTGGGAAAAAATTGTGAAAATCTTCTTGTGTTAAAGAATGTTGGGGCGTGAAGAATTTCTAATAAGTTAAAGTGACCTCGTAAAAGGGGTTTGCTTGGAGTGTGACAAGTAATATGTATGAAACTAAATATAATACAGAACTAAGTGATATATATATCAGTGTGTCATACCACACAATAAAGTAGTTGGGGCATTGGTAAATACATGTGAGCCATAGAATCCATGAGGATCGCTTGAAGGGTCCAGCGAAGCTTAATGATGATTGATGTATTAGTATGGCAGGGAGAAAGTCTGTATAAGTGATTCTCCCTGTAACAGCCCAAACAAATAAATAAATAAATAAATAAAAATACACTGTTCCTCACCGCCTCATATTGTCAGTGATTTTTCATCGCATCAACATGTCGGTAAAGTTTTCACCGCCTCCCGACAGTATAAAAGGGGAGGAAAGGGGGAGAAATTAGGGTTAAAAAAAGAGAGAATAGAAGAGGGAGAAGAGGAAGAGAAGGAAGGAGACAGTAAAAAAATGAAAAATCACCCAAAATTCAAATCAATTCAAGGTAAACCTTTCTCCTCATTGTTTTCTTTGATTTTAAGTAATTGATCTATGATTTCTTGAGAAATTGAAGGAAAAAAAATGAGAATACATACCTAACCACGACGACCTCATCGTCAACCCTCAACCGCCGGCGACCTCGTCGTCAACCCTCGACCGCCGGTGAGCCTCGCAGTCAAGAGAGGTGCGGGCAGGCCACCCGAGCGGCTGCGGAGGGGAAAAAGAGAGAGAGAGAGAGAAAAGAAGAGGAATGGAAAGATGAAGGATAAAGGGGAGAGAAAGAGGAAAGTTTGAATTAAATAACCAAATTAGTTTGGGACCTCTGAAAAATTATTGATTTGTATATAGGTCCAAAAGATAAAGAAGAATGAAAATATTCATGATGACACTATTGTTTAGTAAACTGCAACCAGACCCAGAAAATTCTAACTTAGTTAGTGATGAAGCTGGGTAAATTGCCAAAAATTAGAAAAGAAGCCTACGTGAAACCTATTTATGGACAAACTATTATTTGATCTGATTGATTCTAAACTTTATAGTGATTATCCTATAATATGTACTGGTCCTGAATTAATATTAGTCTTACATATTATAGGTTCAGGTTGAGATCTGAAAAGTAGTGTTTTGAGAAAGCTGTACTCATTGGAAGTGAGTTCATTTCTCACTAGTATTTTTTTACTGTAAAATTTCATAAGTATTATTATTAACTGATTGATCTTGATTTTTCTATTATATTGTCATATATAGAAAATGACATGTGATTTGATCGATTTTATAGCAGCCTAACTCATAATACGATTTTGATTTCTTATGAGATATTGAAAGTAAATTTGATTTCATATAAAATACGAAAAGTGAATTTGGCCCTCATGCGATCTCAAATAATCGTGGATATTGCTTTATCTGAAAGCTTTTAAAGAAATATTTTAAACGTGTTTCAACAGTTTAATGGATTTAAAGATTTTTCATAAAAATGGGGAATAGTGAAATCCGTAAACGGTCTTAACTGAAATGATGAGTTTTAACTCATCCACTTGATTTGAAAATGTTCAGCAAATTCTGATAAGTGACATGTTTCTGATTTAATAAGTGATTTTCGATGCCTTCAAACCCTCAGAAAGTCCACTATGGAGTGATGTGTTTGTGCCTGCCATAGGGTGAATGCACTTTTATTTCGCCCTTCTGTTTTAGGGTGAATGCACCTTTATTTCGCCCTTCTGTTTTTAGCCCTTCTGTATTTGGTCGTTCTGTAATTGGCCCTTCTGGAATTTGTTCTGGTCTTTTTGTATTTGGTCTGTTTATTCTGACCCCTCTGTATTTGGCCAGTAACCTATAACAATGTTAGGTGCATTCAATTCCTGAGAACTATGTGTTATGTGATGATTTTTTTGGCATTCTCATGCTACCGGGCTATAATTCGTAGCCTTAGTGTGACTCATGAGGTGATTTTTACAATTCATGAATGTTCTCATCAAGATTTGTGATTTTAAAATTTGAGCGGTTGCCAGCCAAGAGTGTTGAGCTAAGTGCTATACGGGGCTAAGTGCTACACCGTGTGGATGCGGTGGGAGTCACCTTTAGAGCCCGTAGGAGCCACCTCTAGAGCCCACATCGCATGGTAATGATAGTGAGATGTGTTAAGCTTGATTTCAAAGAAATAATGATATTTTGGCTTTTCACAAATTTATTAGTTTGTTTTCTTTCTTAGTAATTACTTGCTTTCAAAGAAAGTTTGATTTTGGAATATGTTACCACGATTTTAGAATGCGGTACAATATAATTAACTTGCACTTGCTTTCTTGAATATAGCAACAACATGTTATTCTGGGACCATATTTTGCTATTTTTCTGAGATATTTCGTGCCAAGCTTATAATTCATTATTTTTGGGAATCATTATTATTATTTGTTAGATATTTATGATTTCTAGTGGGAGATATTCTCACTGAGCTTAGCTCACTCTGTTGTTTTTCAATTTTTTTCCAGATCTGAGTTAGAAAAGTGATAATCCAAATTTTTGATTGTGGGCATGGTTAAGAAGTGCTTATTTGGAAACTCGTCTCCAGTGGTGATATGTTCAGCAAAAAGAGTGTTTTGTGCTGTAAACATTTATAATGGTAAAGGTTGTGGAATGTTAGTAACGATTATAAGTGTGTGTGTGTGTGTGTGTGTGTGTGTATATATATAAAGGTTTTAAATATCGGCCGACATGTCCGACATGCCGGCCGACATATCGGTTTGAGGGCTTGACCGACAAGACATGGACGTTTTCAACTCGTATATCGGTTTTCAGGGCCAAATCGGAAATATCATGGTCATATCGACCTATTTTTTAGGTTTGAAAAATTGACCGATATGGTACTTTTTTTTAAGATCTGTTTTTTTGTTATCGGGTTTGGGTTTAGTGATAAATACCCAAACCCGTTTGACTCGTTCTCATGTTTAAGGGTTCCTTATGAACCCAATAGAAAGAATTTATGAACCCAAATCCATATATTATTTACTTTTTTATATATTTAGTCTATAGAATTTATAAAGTATGCTTATATTAAATTTATGAATGTTTAGATTACATTTAGGACATGATATTATACATATGCGCACTACCCGATATGACAATCCGATATTTAGTCAATGTCCCCCGATATATCCCCGATTTTCGATATATATATATATATAGTTTGTTTTGAGCTACTATTTTCAGTAGGCTTATGTATATGTTTTGAGTTGAAGTACGTGATATAAGTGTCAGGCTTAACTCGTGCATGGGGCTTATCTTGTGCATGGGTCGCTGCTGTCACGTAACCCGTGTTTATGAATTTCCGCTGCAGTTTCAGGGCGTGACACTCCCCTCCCCTCCCCTCCTCTCCCTTCTCTTCCCTTCCCCTCCACCGTGCTTCTCATCTCCTCCACAGTTCCCAAACATACACTTAATGGTTTCTAACCAAGTTTTCTTACGCCTAACCCTAGGTCTGCTTTCTCCATTAATCACAATCTTATCACTTCTCCTAATCGGTGAATTTAACAACCTCTTGCATGTGAACAAATCATGTCAAACGATTCTCTCTCATTTTATCGTCAATAGGAGCTACCTATAAACAAATCATGTCAAATGATTCCCTCTCATTTTATCGTCAATAGGAGCTACCTCTTAACTTCCTACAAATATACTCATTTCCATCTGATTATGCAAGCATCAACAAGATTATGCAAGCATCAACAATGGTTACGAAATCACATGGGAAAAACACACACATTAACTTATTAAAAAAACAAATAAATTCATATTTTACCTTCCTTCCTTGGAGTTCAACTTGCAAACTAGCTATATTTCTCTGTACAGAAGTCAGCTCCCTTAAAACCTTTATCAATTCATCGCTCTTGTCGCCCGTCGACAAATTCTCTTCCTACCAAAAATTCAGATAGCTATAAATGTAAATGCAAGTAGTAAAAAAACCCTTATTCTAGAAATTTGATAAATAAAGCAAACCCTAGAAGAAGAAAAAAAAGGAAAGGGGATTGGTACTGGAATCGGAGGAGGGATAGAGAAACCGAGATCGGGACCCGAAAAAAGCGGTTTTATGAGTAAGACGGTTCGGGTCGGGTTGACAATTTTTCAAACCGACCCGAACCGAACCAACCGAATATATTTGTGCCTTTGATTTGTGGGTTTATTGCTGTCTTCGATCACCATGAATAGCAGTTGCAGGGAATTGTTTCATACATAACTAATGTTCTAATGAGTCAGCTCCTTTTTTGCCTCCACAAAGACCAAAGTCAAAGCTTGCTACACAAAGACAAAGCAAGTCCGTTACTAAAAAATTACAACGTCAGATTCTAATATTTAATCCAAAAGGACAAGTTACTTCACTTAAAATAGTATACATACATGAGCAAGAATAATAAATTGAAGTGAAGTTAAAAAACAAATACATACTGGCATAGGGTAATAATAATATATAAAAGATAAATTGAAGTGAAGTTATACTTGATGAAGTTAGAACCGAACAAACCGAACCGAACCGCACCGAACCGATTTGTAATGGTTCGGTTCGGTTTTAAATTGTAGATGGTTCGGTTCGGTTGTTCAAATTTTGGTGAAAACCGACCCGAACCGAACCGTGCTCACCCCTAGAAGCAAGTGTTTGAAGCGATATAATACGCGCGAGCGAAAATGATTTAATCAAAGTAGGGGTTTTTTGGTATCAGTCCCTCAAATAGTTCCACATTTTTTTGAACTGATTCAAATAGTTCCACATTAGTCTTTCACATCTCTAAATTTGGTCATTAGTCCTTCAAATCCTATTGAATCTTACAAATTGGTCGCTTATTAACCAAGATGCCCCTCGCTTGTGTTTTTATGAACACCTCAGGTTTAAGGAGAAAACAAAAGTTGAGGACAGATTGGTTATCAAGGAACAGATTTGCAAGTCTCCTTAGAATTTGAGGGACTTACGATCAATTTCCAAAGATGAAAGGCCATTATGGAATAATTGGAGATATTAGGGACTAATATCTAAAAAACCTTGTATGTCACATAAGTAGAGCAAAATATTCAGCTTTTTTATATAAAGAAGAAATAGGAGAAGAAATCCTCCACATCTTAAATTGTAAAGAATGTTTACAATTGCATAGGTGGATAAATAAGATTGGTTAATACTTTGGAGAACTTCGTGCAGGCCCGATTGCTTAAGAGGGCGCAATGTGTTGGGAATAACTTGCGCATGTATTAAGGATTCTAATCATAAGAACATCAATACAGAGAATTTTTGTTCTTGTCATATGTAGTTGTTTTCCCTATTGTAGTTACAATCCACAATTATTTTAACCTACAAACTTTCCTTCTTCTATTAATCATGATTATGCTAGTAGGCAATCAGTCAATAGCTAGAAGATGAGACATATAGTTGTATTCATGAGCATCCTCATCTTTTACTGGGGTATACATTAAAGCAAAACCAAAAAGTTTAAAAACTCATCAGAGGACGACACTTCATCTTCCTCCTACTCTAATTTTTTTGGCACATGTCATATCATCTAATCCATCCATTTAAATTGCCATTATATCTCAACCTTTAATTCAAATAAATATATTTATATAAGGAAAAAAAATCAATTTATACTCAATTAAAATATCTTTGGCAATATCTTTAGTGACTACTTCAAATCACAAATAAAATCAAGTCCCCTCATTTAAGCGTTTCTTTCCAACATATGGAAAAATATATACATTTCAGTTTTCTCAAAAAACTGGAAAATCTATTTATCCTGAAATTCCACTTTATTTTTTCTGTCATTTTTCCCGTGTTAAGTTTTTTACGTTTCGGTTTTTCCTACTCAATATTTTTTGAGAACTCTGAATTACTATTCTGATCTCTAATAAATATATTAGGTAATTAATTTAGCACCATCCAATATTTATATTATTTTCATTTATCTATTTTTTATTTTAATTATTTTTTGTTTTTTTGTTTTTTAGATTGTTGATTTTTAATTCCTACTATGAATTATCATTCCGATCTCTGAAAATACATCAAATAATTAATCTAACACCATCCAGTATTTATGTTATTTTAATTTACGTATTATTTTTTGATTTTAATTGTTTTGGAATTTTTTATTTTTTAGATAGTTGATTTTTAATTCAAATGTAATTTTATCTTCAAACCCATGGTTCGTTAATTGCTTGGAGGAAAGTAATTCAAGTATTTCATCTATCATGTCCAGTATAATTTTTATTTAAATTTGTTTAGTATTTTTTAGTTTTAATTGTTATCAAACAATAATAACATTCAGGTACTTATTCTACAACTCTTAAATAATTACTTTCAATTCAATATTTTTAATATTTTTATATTATTGCGTGAAAATAAATCAATGATTTTCAATCTTCAACCAACGAAGATTTTGTTACTTGGAGAACATAATTCAGGTATTTAATATATTCTTATATTAAATTTATTTGAAAATATATTTTTTAGTTTTTAAAAATATTACAGCAATTATTTATTTTATTTTATTTTTTGTATTATTTTTTAACCCTTTTAGTAGTTTTCTAATATTTTTTTAGATTGTCAGTTTTTACCTATGTAATTTTGTCATTAATTGTTTGGAGAAAAATAATTTAGGTATTTCCCATCCGATATAATTTTTATTTTAATTTGCATAGTATTTTTTATTTTAATTATTATAAAAAAATATTGATTTTTAGAAGCTAAGTTCTAATTCCAATCCACATATTACAATTTAAACTTTTTTCATTTTTATATAAATGGAAATTTTTATTTTACTAACTTCTAAATTTAATTTGGATTTTATTACATTTTAAGGTAGTTGTGAAAATATATTTTTGATTATTTATAATATTTTTGTAATTAAAATAATCATAAAACTTTCATAATAAATATCTATTTATTTTTTAAAAATATTATAGTAATTAAAATATATTTTTGGGTTTTTAAATTATTACAGTGATTCAAATTATAAAAAATATTTTTAATTTTTAAAAATATTATAGAAATTATAATAAAATTTTTAAAACATATTTAAGCATTTTCAAGATTTTAGAATAATTTTGGCAATATCTTTGGTAACTAATTCAAATCAGATATCCAGATATAGAAAAAATTAATTTATAATCAGATATTTTTTTAGAGAGAAGTAGAAAAGAGATTTGATGAATTTGAAAAATTACACATGTGTTGATGACAAGCGGGCAACAAGCTGCACCGCTAATCCTTTCTGAATTGTAAAATCTAACCTACGAAATACGTACTCAGCCGGCCCCGTTGTCGCCACATTCTTATTTATGAATTTCTGTACCTTCCTGAGGAACTCCACCGCATCAGTTACAAGGAAACCAAACATATCAAAAAGCGAACGGGATGAAGCTGTGGTGGTTGTCCTTGCAAGCTTGATCATGTTTACCCACCTTTGCCTCTGCCTCTCTATCCGCTGTATGCCCAATCTTGACTTTCCATTACCAAACCCCACCAACGGAGACACCCCTGTGAGATCAACACAAGCGTGCTTCTCCCCGCTCCAACTGTAGACAAGAACATCTGCCGGTCTTAGAATAGATCTAGCCTCTCCAAGAGGAGTGAGCAAGTTGACCGGTGCTTCCTTCTTTGATGGGATCCCTGCTCTTTGGAGGATATCATACAAGACATCTCTGACTAAGTCGTATCTGTACTTAAACCCCGGCTGCTTCTGACAGCGGATGTCATGCTCTCCAAAAACATCCATCTGCGTTCTACGACAAACTGGGCACATTGTCCCCTCCACGAACAAAGGAACCAACAACCCGTATCTAAAGATGGCCTGGTACTCCCCCGGAGTCATATGCTGCCACAATCCCTCAATAGGCGTGGCCAACAAAAAATCCTGGGCGTACTTTTCCCGCAGGCACTCAACAATCGCAACCTGCCTCTCTGAAAGGTCAAACTCCGTCGATAGATCTCTACAAATACCACCAAAAAAGATGTCTGCCAATTAATGCATTAGTTTTGGGGGGACAAACCATTTAGTGGTGATTTAAAGAAGGTCAACCTCAGGTATCTTGGCTTGAAGAAAGGCCCTGGCGGAAGTAAAATACCCACCTAAAGAAACCTCACCACAACCTCTCAAAATGTGGTCTTGGAGCTTGATAGAGTGAATTCGAGAGGCCACAAAAGAAAATTGTATGGCATCGGCCGGCCCCAACTCACCCGCTTTGATAGGTAAAGAGGCCAGCCTCCATTAGAGATCCCCAAAGCCTGGGCCCTCGGATGTGACAGTACTCTCGACTGACCTCCGAAGTGCAATATCAAACTGTCTTGCCGCCTGAGCAAAGAGTTGTGGCAGGCAAGTCCTCAAGGCAAAATACAACTTGGACAGACCCGCACAAGCCCTCAAAAGGACGAGCTCGCACTGTGGATCCCTAAGTTGATCCAACGCTTCTATTAACTGAGTCGTCTTTGCCACCCTCATCGCTGCTAACCCACCAACAAACCCCTCATCCACACTAACTGTTCCACCTAAAAGCCTTACTCCATCACGAGGCCGACTAATATCCAAGGGAAAAAATCCCTCCAGCAAACTCTTAGGATCCGATGAGGGCCAGAATAATTTAGTTTTGGTGACATTGAGGTCCAACCCGAGCCTTGGGCATTCAGTCTCGATCACCTTATATGCCTTAGCAATCTCTAAAGTATCCCCGATCAAGGACTCATCGTCCAAGTACCAAGCATGAAGAGCCAACTTGCACTCTTCCTGTACTCGTAGAATCAATGGGTGTAGCATGAGCGCGAACAATAGAGGTCCTAACGGATCCCCCTGCTAGACCCCCCAAGTAGACCAAATGAAATCCACCCTCAAATACAGCCTAGCAGGCTGCAAATATAGAAATTCTACCCAAGGAGAGATCGCCGAACACTTAAGGCGCACTTCCCACAACATACTACTCTTGTTGACCAAATTAAATGCATTACAAAAGTCAACCAAAAGCATGGAGAGCGAGTCATCCGCATGGTGGACATCAACGAACCTATTAACCACATGCAAAATAGCTTCTTCCCCTCCTGAGAC